CTAAAGGCAGGATTTAGAGTCTCTACACTCCAGTTAACTATTAATCAATTATTAATTTAGTTGATTATTTCAGTAATCCATAAATCACGATTAATCTGATTAATTGTTTCACTCTTAGTTCAAATGTTACTAGTGTTGTCAATACTCGCTGTGCCCAGGTAAAAAAAACAAAACAATATAGGGCCGAGGTCTGTGTTGCTTTTTCAACAGATGAGAAGTGCAAATTACAACAAGTTTCTATTAACAAACAGAGCACCACACATCAAGACTAAAACGAGGCTATGAAAGAGAGAAATCTTAAAAAAAAAAAAAAAAACATCTTAAACAAAGCACTGTCTACAGTATCAATGGAGTTTATCCAAAGTCCCTTTCAGGGCTATCTATAGGTCATTGGTTTTGCTAACGTATTATAATGATTTAAATGTAAAATATAAAATCAGGAAAGTACATAAAAGTACATATACTCTGCTTAGATAATATTTTTCAGTGAAGAAATACAGGCCATTACCGTAGGTTAATGTTTAGACAGTAGAAACAGAGAAGGGTACGTTCAGGTTAATGGAGTAATTTCTCTCCGAAATACAAAACTACACAAGATCTATCATGAAGGAATGGCCGAACACAGTGCTATAAACTCTAAAAGTAAAAACAACACTCGTTTCACTTCACATCTTGCTTGGTCACAGAGGTTAGAAGTGGCAGAAGACTTTGATGCACGCCCATGTCGCCTGTTATCACCACCGCGCTCAGCAGAGGACCAGAATGTCTACAGATGATCTCTTAGATACACAGGAGATCTACTGAGCATGATGTTGCAACAAACCTATTTTGGACGCTAACCTTACACGCAACTTTAGTCAGAACTGTCACCTCCTAAAAAAAGAAAATCCACACTGTCTTTATTTCGACACAAGGTGCTAATATTTCCTAAATTGATACTGACAAGTATCATGACCACCTCCTGCTTTGTCAAACCACACTTAGATTTTAAAGCACCGTATCGTGCAAAAACCACAAAGTAGCGCTGTCGGTTATTTGGTTCAACATGAGCTAAAAGGAAAATGAGAGATAAAGCAGGTTTAAACTGCATCAAAGTTGAGAGCTTCTTCTTTCAACGATTAACAGGCATCATTCTTTCAACACCAATGATAGGATAAGCGGTAAATATACCAGACCGACCCTGATTGATGACATGCTTCCAGCAAATCCCAAAGATTCTATTCCTGTACATTAATAAACAGCCTAAGCTAATTTCACTTCACCATGAGTATCGAATATCAGCTATGAGCTCATACCACAAGGCTTCATGAACCCTTCTCTGCTAAGAAAATGATGATGCTATTAGAAATGCAACTAAACTGTCCATTTCATTCTCTTTTCTTTTTTCTTCCTTCATATTCTAGCAGAGCACAGCCGTGCATGAGCCATGCTACAACCCCACTGAGAGGGGACTTAAAAGATTTACCAAAGGTCTGCGTGTCTTCAGCCAGGCAGCCTTACTATAAATTCTTATTAACAGCAGAGGTAGGGGAAACAAATCATTACGTAGGTCTTCCATTGATGACCCTGGATTTTTCTTCTCTGTAAACTTAACTGTTATAAATACGCTACACAACAGTTCTTTAAACAGTCATATCTCTACATTGAGTGAACCAAAGCAGTTGTGTAAATCAGTTCTGATGCAAAAAAACAAAACAAAACAAAAACGTATGCATAGAGTTATCTTGACAAATAACTTTCCTAAAATAAAGACGCTTTTGCTTGATATTCTCCAGAACCAATCATTAAATCAAAAGCACTGGGGGATAAAAAATGTAAGCAATGGAAGTGATGGAAAACAGTCCAGATCTCCAGCTGCATGAAAGCACCGACTTAGAAGACAAAAGGAGAAACACTTTCTGATCTTGATTTCCCCCCAAAACGATAAAAAAAAGTTTTAGATTATTAGATGTAACATAAAGTGGGTCGAGACGTTTTTTATTGCTATTAAAGTATACCAAGATTTCATTAAAGTTTTGGATTAGAAACTGCTTAACTAACAAGGTGTTGTTTTAAAACTTTAACTGTATTTAGAAAGGGACACCACATTAGACTGAGTAGAACTTAAGCCTATCTGGAATAGTACAGCTATGAGGACTATACGGTCTAAACTCATTTGTGGTTGACAATGTAATTCTGATATTTATTAATGATTAATTACTGATATTATATTCCGATATAAACAACATGAATTATGCGAAAAGATGCCTGCACAAACTTATGAAAATTGTTTAACCACCTCTATGAAACTCTTTCAATATAACATTTTAGAAATAATAATAAATATTAATAACAAAAAATAATAATAACACATTGACCTTTTTTTTTTGTTTGGAGCTAAAAGCTGAATAGCGTAAAGAACATAGAACAAGGCAATCAGCTCTCACTTTCTCTCTCTCCATATATATTAGTCCAAGGCTTCATGATTTTTTTCAGTTTCTCCGTTATTCCCTCCTTTATTTGTTTTTTCTTCACCTAAGCCTGAAATCTATGGTCACAAATTAAATAAATTAGCAAAACTCATAACTATCTCTAAAAAAAGAGTAAACTAAAGGTCCCCTCTAATTTCTAAAGCATCCAATGTCTGATATTCATTGGCATTGAATGCAGAGCTTTACCAGTTTTTATTTTTTTAAATAAGTCTTTAAGAATTCCTCTCACTCGTGCCGCAGCTTCCAGCTGTAATAGTCATTACTTGTGTTCTTCTCTTTGTTAATGAAAGTTTGGTTTATTTTATCTTTAGTAAAAAAAAATAGATTCCAGCCTAATTTTTTAACCTAAATAGGGCGAATATTGACAACATGAGTTACGCTTCCTTAGCCTTACAGTAGCCAGATTGATATGTGTAGAACTGAATTCTAGGTTATTTGTTGTGAGACTGAAAACTCAGATCTTGCAACAATCCAGCTTGCAACACAAGGTTAATGCTTCCTAACTTGAATCAAACTTTTATCATAGCAAAGTTTAGCTCAGTTAAAACTCCTCTTTTCTTAGCTCTTCAATTCCGACTCCAACTCTAGATAGGGGAGTTACCTTATCTAGTGGTTAGGGCATAGAGGTTTGAGTTCTGGGTTCGAGTCCCACTCCCACAGACTACCACTCTGGGTCCCTGAGCAATGAACCCTTAACCCCACACTGCTCCCCGGGAGCAGCACAATGGCAGCCCATTGCTCCCCAAAGGGGATGGGTTAAATGCAAAGAGTGAATTTCCTTGCTCTGTACTTGTGACATAGTAATGAAAATCAAAGCTGGGAAAAAAAAAATTAATAAAAGACCGAACATTGTTTGATTAGCATTTGCTAATCAGTTTACACATCATTTATTAGACGTTGAAAATCAGACATTTTCTATGACGGCTTTTGCCAGGTACAGCAGCTCATGTTTTTGCTAAAAAGTCCCGTGTAGGCGCTTAACCTGCTGCTGAGCATTTAATCGGAATACTAAAAATGCGTTTAGAGGTCATACCAGCATTTTTGAATGAAATTATATTGCGATAGATACATGTTGATATTTAATTATTATCATAGCGCTGCCAAAGGCTTAGGCGTCGAACAAATCAGCTGGCTAAAGCTAGACATACACTGTACGATTTTTTTGCCTTTTTCGGGCCAATTCTCCAGTCGTGCAAGAATTTTTTCGATCGGGCCAACTTTCAGCCTCACATTGCGTCCTGTGTCGTGTAGAGTAAAGGGGTTACTACAGGCCATTAGCCTCTCAGGACCACCTCTTTAAATGCAGCTGGCTGTTGTGAGGCGTTTGTGGACAAATCCTGCTACTGAAGCAGAGCTACGAGCAGATTTGCCAGAACCCCGAGCACTGCGCATGTGCAAATACGGGAGTTCGTCTTCTAGAGTGACAAGCGACCAGCGCCATCTCTCGGCACAGAGTCTGACAGATGTTTTTTTTTTTTAGATGTGCAGCGTGAGTAGGTAGATCGCATCAGAACATCGGGCCTCACAGTATGAATACATGCAACATGAGCTGTGAACTTTTAAAACCTGTGATTTCATCGTACAGTTTGAGCTGTAGCTGCGTGCAACGATTGAAAATATCGCACAGTGAATGCCCAGCTTAAAGGAAGACTCCTGATGAAGTGATGTCATGGGAAAACAGCTTTTTTAGTTGATCAGTGCTTTTGGCCAAAAGCATTGATCAGTTAATAAGGTATTTCGCCAGAACCTCAGACCTTCCTGGAGTCAAAATAAGGGCTGGTCGGGTTTCATGTCTAAAGGAGTGCTACCCATCACCAGCTGGATATCCATGAGCACTATTGTCTTTATAGGCTAATAACAGGCCAAATAACACAACTAAACAATAATACAACTGCATGATATCAAAGTAATGAGCACTCCCACAGCATGAATACAGAAGTACAGGCAAATAAATCCTTTCTTGGTTCCTAATCAGTTCCTCTTTCTTTAGATACCAATTTGACACCCATTGAGTTATTTGTAAATACCGAGATGGTATGCTTTGTTTACTTGTATATATAAACAGGAACCAATCAAATTAAAATGAAATAAAAATAAACCAGCTGAGCAATTGAGAATTTCCTAAAAGCTATTTTAACAGGTGCAGTACTGGTTTATTTTGGTCGCCTGGATACCATGTTTATCATGTTCCTCTCAAGAAAACTCCTCATTCGGATAATGCAAACCACACTGAGTTCAGCAGCAGGCATTGTTGATAGCGACGTCTAGACTTTAAAACTGGATAAGTGCTGGTCAGACCTGTCAGCCCAGATAAACAAAATCTTTTTTTTTTATGTACTAAGAAACAAATACAGATTAGGAGGCTTTTGAAAGCAAAACCATACTGTCAGATTACCAGAGTTCATTTTTCACCATGTTCACTTTCAAGCACACAAACCAGTTCGGCCACAAACACCATTCCATGTTAACACAGTTCACAGGAGGATCAACAGCTTTTACTGTGCGAGTGTGTCTCTGTAAGGTACTCACTCTCTCCTTCTATTTTGTCGGTGCTTCGCGTCCAGGTTATAGTCCGGGTCTCCAATTTTACTTGAAAAGTCCGTCTCTCCGGCCTCTGGGATTTCTTAGAGTAAAATAGAGTCAGTACTGTGCCCAGCTCCAGGTCTCGGTAGAGGTTGTTCATCTCCGCGTCGTTGTCCATCCACGGAACAGGTCCGTTGGAAAAGAAGCCAGAGGTCCCAGCCATGTTCACTTCCCCTGTTTGTTATCCGTTTCCTCTCAGAACAATCTGCTCAGTCCAGGCCTAGACAGGGTTACCTAGAGCAGGAGGAGAGGGAGGACCCATGAAACAACAGTCCCCCTGAGTATTACAATCCTATACTTACATCATACTGCTGTGAGGACTAAGGAGTTAAAACCAGAAGACAGAAGCTTTAAATAACACTGGAAGAAGGGCGGTGTAATATACCGAATCGCAATCAGCATCACAGCTTCTATCTTACCAATATTACTAAAGCACATGACAGTTAAATGCAATATTCAGTTAGTTTTAATATATTTCAGGCACTTTAGATTAACTTTAAACACAATTTAAATCCACACTATATTTATCTTAGTGATTAAAAGAATAAAACAAGGTTACAAATTTGTGAACATATTACCTTATTGGTGATATGGACCAGCACCCCTAAAAAACCTTTTATTCGCATTAAATATAAATTTTGAATGATAAAGTAAAGTAGCGAAAAATCAGAATATGTATTTTTTCTAGATAAGAAATCCTTTCTTGTTCCTAGTATGAAGTAAGATTGCTGATTTATTTCCTGGCAAAATCATTCATGACTACATGAGTGAGACGTCCAGATTCTATTAAAATGGGACATGATTTACAGTCTAATTTAAGAAATTTACTGTAATGTTTCATAAAAAAATATATATATATATAAAAAAACATAATGCAACCAGGTGTTTTTTTATACAATATGCAGACTTGCTGCTGTCAGTGGTGAAAATATTTTATACCAGGATTAATTTGATGTTTAGACCAACTCAGATGTCTTTACACAGTAACTTTTTTCTACCGGGTAAAAAGTGCAAACATTAATTCAATATCAATGTTCAGACATATACATTTTTAATGTAACCAACCCCCAGATCTCAACTATTATCGCCTTGGTCTTTAAACCAACATACTTTATCTTGGAAACATTTTATTTGTTTTAATGCACCTTCAGGTGAAATCATATTTTCTAGAATGCTCTAATAAGTATTTAAAAAGAAGAAATTGATAAAAGTGTAGATTTAAAAGCATCCAAAGCTATTCTAATATCATTACCTATTATTATATCTTCCAAAAACTTTAAAAAGCTGACTAACTCAATGGAAAACATACGTTTTTTACTTAAAATAGTAAACTCTATGCTGGAACAAAATATAGGATTATATTTAATAATAGTTCTTTGCGCCTATTTTAATGACAGGGAGAAATCGCAATTATTAAAATTATATTAAATTAACAGATTCAGATCTATTAATTTCTAGAAGAAATCCAAAGCAGACAGCGAGAAAAAAGAATAAAAGAAAAACAAATAAGTTTGGTCTTTATATATTCATGATGTTGTAGTGTTTTAGATACAGATGGGAGAATAACTGGGAGTGAATTAATCATTAGCAGCGCTAATGGTTAATGATCCTTGCTGTGCTTGAAAAAGTTTTTTTTTTTTTTTTTTCAACTGAACTTTTTAAAACCCTGGATAACTTTAAATTAGCATCTTCTTCTCTTCAGCCTGGATGCTGTTTATTTGAATCCAGGATGATGTAAAATCAGCCGACAGGCCTGTGAGCTGCTGGAGGAAAACAAATCCCCCACTTCTGAGCCTAGTTTGTTTAGGAGAGGAAGGTGTTAAAGCAGCAAACCCGGCTAGCGGTGTAAGAAGGAGCGTTAGACTGTTTTTCCAGCGTGGAAACGGGGCCGGCGGCTGCTAGCACTCTGCCTGGGCCGACAACAGATGAATTATGGCTCATTTTCTCCGTGGAAAAAAAACAACAAAAAAAGGGGGTATCAGTCATAACCACCCTGCCTTTTAACGTATCATTCTCTATTTTCTTCACACATAGTCATAAACTATCAGAGAAGAAAACAACACGTAGCTGCCGAGCTCCCTGCCTTCCTACCTACCGCAGCAATCTCGGCCCGACCGCACATCTCTAACGGCTGCTCCTCCTTTCTCCTTTAGCCCGACTCCCGTCGTCTTTCTTTCTTCTACTCCGTTTCCCGCTCCGTAAACCCGGGATTTTCCGTGAATTAAATCATCACCGGGCCCTCTGAAGGCACCACGAAGCCGACAACAACAGCTAGAATCCCAGCGACTCCCTCCTCTTCCCTCTAGCCGTCCATAGAGAGAGGCAGGCGGCTATAAACCAAGACTACGTAAGTCTATCTGCTCTCAGACCCAACCAGCTCAGGCCCCTCCCCCTCAGACTACAGGCAGCATCACAGCCGGAGTCACTTCCGCTGCGGATTTTCAAGATAAAACACAACTGTGTCAATTTAACTAGATTCCAGTGATCTATCAATTAAATTCAGAATTTATCAGCAAAATGTAATTTACCCTTTTCACAATTGCAATTTACACTGACACACACAACTGTAAAATATTGCATTAGTTAATAATAAGCTAATTATATATGCTTTACATATATGCAGTTCTAGACCAAATTTTGGAAGGGGACAGGATGAGGCTGGTGTTTTTTTGAAGGGGGCACAGAAAAAAAAACATGCACATGAAAAAAAGGAGCATAACATGAATATATTAAGTGAGCAAATTTTAAAGGTGAAATATGAAATCGGTGCAAAGGACAAGTCAGTTATATTCTCAATTGTCATCATGAGAAATTAATCTTATATTAAACTGTAAAGACTAATATAAAAAAAGGAACTCATTCTTAAAATAAGAATCCATCCATCCATCCATTTTCCGTCACGCTTATCCCAAGCGGGGTGGCGGGGAGTGGTGGTGCCTATATCCAGATGTGAATGAGCGAGAGGCAGGGTACACAATACTCTGGACAGCTTACTGGACAGGTCGCCAATCCATTGCAGGGCAACACAAAGACAAATTCAGACACACACTTAGGAGAATTAAGAGAAGGCATTTAACCTAACAGTCATGTTTTAGGACTGTGGGAGGAAGCCAGAGTACCCGGAGAGAACTCATGTATGCTCAGGGAGAACATGTAAACTCCACACAGAAAGACCCGGGGCTGGGAATTGAACCCGGAACCTTCTTGCTGCAAGGCAGCAGTGCTACACACTGTGTCACTGAGCAGCCCATAAGAATATTTACACTTAATTTGAGCAGGTAATTATGGTGATATACTACTGTAATAAGTATTTTTCCTCATATTTTTCTTATTTCGAAGTTAAGTCATCTCATTTAGTTGGTAAATTGTCTAACCTACTTGCTCAAATCCAAGGAAAATACACTTATCTAAAAAAAAAAATGACTTATGTAGCTTTAAATTTTTGCAGTGTATGTTTTCAGTAAAGGTGACAGTAACAATCCTACAGTGGCACTGGCCCCTGTTGGCCCCTGTCTAGAACCTTTAACAAGTATGGCATCCTTTATTCACGGCTACCAAGGGAGTTTTTAAAACAGTCTTCCATATCATTTGAATTTAATTCTACATTACTGAAAATGCCATGTGAAGTTGGTCAAACTGGAAATCAAAGAAGAGTTATGTTTGGGGAAAAAATAGTTCCTTTGAACATTTATTGTCACTACATAATACTTATAATTTTTCCTTTTTTTAAATGTAGAACTTGACTTCTTGAGATCCCAGGTCTATGTCTGATTGGTCTTTCATACACCCGACTCTGCAATTATAGCTGTATTCTACTTTTTAAAATGTTTGTATTTCAACTAAATTATTTGTTGCCATAAATGGCAGTGCTTTACCAAAAAGTATATCTAATTAGTTTTCATTTATAGTTTGCCTGGACTGAGTTTATCTCCAAGCCTTTCAGTTTGGGAGATTTTTATTTGTATTTGTTTGCTTACAGCTGTTTTCAAGCAAGCCCACGGTCTATGAGTCAGATTTATAGACTTTGATTATAGCGTTCCAAAATGTGGATTTACATTTATGCTGGAAAATTAAATCCCTTTGTATTCAGTTTTCTTGCTTTCATTTGTTACATTTTAATTTATAGCTTTTATTGGAGTTCTTCCTGAAGAAATAAATCTATGGGAGACACAAATTCAGTTATGCCTACCATGCTTGATGATTTAAAAATGCCAACCCTCCTCCTTTGCCTAGACTTAATTGGCTTAGATGAGCTCTTGTCTAATATGAAACACCCCCACTTCCTATGGGAAATCTATGCAGCTTCTTTACTGTTGTTAACAGCTGCTTGGGAACCAGCCTGACCAGATTTTGTCTCATCTTTTTACACATTTTAGAAGCTTGTCAAGTTTTTCACATTTCCTCCCATTATCAGTACCTGATGATATTAGTATGTTAAAAAAAATCAGTTTAGGGCTGATACAATTAATTGGATTAATGGTGATTAATGGATTATTGACATAATTGTCAACTAATGTAGTAATTACAGTATAGGGACTGTAAAATATAATTTAAGCTGACGGAGAAACCCACTTAGAGCAATAATTATACATTTAGATCTGCGTTTATTTATTGATTAATCAAGAAAAAAAATCGATAGATTTATCGATTTGCAAAATAATTATCATTTGCAGCCCTAAAGCAGTCAGACTTACTGTACCCTTTTTCTGACTAGTTTATAATCTATTAGCAAGCTAAAGTGTAAAGGATGCAAACGCCCATCTAACACCCATCTAATATATTAGATGGGTGTTGTAAACCAAAGAAGACTAATTGCTAAGAAAATAATCAGAAGGTGTTTCAGACAGTTGTGTGGAAAAGTGGTTTAAATCTTTATTCGAAAAAGTGTTTTTATAGGTCAGGTTATTCATCTTTGAAAAGGCAGTAGAAGCGTTGACCTTTCACTATAATTCTCGAATATGGAAATGAAAACAGTCACATCTAACCCATTAAACAAGTGTTGCTCCCTCCCAGACCTTATCTGCCAATATTCTTTTATTTTGAAACTATTAACCTTACTTCCGGAAATGCTTTGAAATTTCACTGTATGCTTGACAAGTTTGTCCTCAGCAGAAGTGCCAAATCTCAGCCTCAAGATGCAGACCTTTCTCCTGAACCTAAAGCAGAAGCTGCGGTATTAAGGAACAGCTCTCTGGATTTTTCATCCAGCTAGTTTAGAGCTGGTCTTTACATACAAAACATATATAAAAAAAAAACTATATGATAGAGGAAAGTAAAATAGAAACGAGGACTTTTTACTTAAAACCCAAATTATTTAACTATAAACAAGCTTCTGGTTTTAGAAAAATAAAAAAATATCCTTTATTGTCCCAAAGTTTGGAAATTCAGGTAGAAAATGTAAGTGGGCAGATACCCACAATATGGATAAATGCAAAGAAGACAAATAGAACAAGGTTGATGTTTTATTCTGAAAATTACAAAGCTCTAAACAACAAGCTTTCAAATCATTGTGGGATTGTGACACATGATAAAATACCAAGAAGTATTCATGACAAAAGTTATAATCCATTGACATTAGAGATTGCTCAGAGACATGCTCTGCTCTATTGTAGCATTACAAAAACAGCACACCTACATGTATAGATGATGTGGTCATTTTTGGCAAAAGTACACACCCCTCTGTCAGAGGGAACTGTCTCTTTGAGCTGTGCCACACAAAAACGTTTTGTTCAGGTATTTCAAGTAACTGAATTCACCGTTACGCCCAGTTCACTGTAAGACTGACGAAACACACGCACACAACAAGAGCTGAAACAGAGCGATAAGGGCTTTGCGTTGAGGATGGATACAGCACACGTTTGAAAACCAAACTAAAAGAACAACAATATGTACATCCCTGAAACAAACAGCATGGATGAAAACTATACATTCTGTGTGCTAATGTGTTAGCATAGTGCTAGTTCAGGTGTTCATGTTCACCAGCATGTCCAGCTTATTTCAAACACTACCTGAAATTCATGATGACCGTCATAATCTCTCATGTTGTCAAAACATAGTAATTCATTATTCTATCAGAATATTATTCAGTAGATCTGATGGCTTAGCATCTCAGAGCAGTTCAGCCGACACAACATAATACTTGACGTGTTAAAACGGTTGCTTGGATACGGTCAAAGAGCAGTGGCTACATACACAACACCGTAATGCTTCTAAGAAAAGATACCCACCCCCCAATGGGGCATCATGGTGAAATATTTCAAGAGCTGATTTCTTTCCTGTACACAACCGGTCCATATTTACAGCATAATTATTAAAACCTGTCCGATGGCAGCCTCACTTCGTCCCACGCTGCCCTGCGGTCGCCGCACAGAGGCGTCGATTGACGTCGGCTCCAAACCATCCGGAAAATCAAAGGCTTGCGTAGAAATGTCCCATTAAAAACAGTTAAAATTCATAATCCTTTTCGGCCATGTCAATCGCCCAGGCAAACTTTTCCCTCTGGGTCTTGTTGTAGATCTTCTCTATGGGAACGCCCCACTTCTTGCACCTGGATAAAAGGGAAGATGGGATGTGAATCATCATGCAGGACAAAGATTTGGGTTATTTATTCATAATAAACCTAAATGGACTGGTTGGATCTTTCTTCTTTCTCTCTTTTTCCCACATTGTCTCTCCTACACTGTGTACCAGGTTTCCTTGCAGCACCCCATTAGAGGGAACTTCATCCAAAGTTTGGAGCTGTCCTTTATCTATTCTGTCTGAGTACAAGGCTCTCCATAAAAAGTTGAGGCATCTTAGGGGGAGGGTGGGCCACCGTCCTCCCTTCTCTGAGGCACTCTGTGCAGTCACATACTTCCCAAATAAAGGAAAGAGGGCTGTTTGGGGACGCTCCCTAGCTTTCAGAAACAAACCCCATTGTTCGTGGCGCTCACATGCTTTTTCTTCCTCTTATTTTCCTACTGCAGCCATTAGCTTTTTTGCCTAAGCGGCTCCCTTTTCCTACAATGCAAGGCCGTTTCCTTCCTTATTGTCACAGAGGTAGATGCGCAGACACACACACAGAAAGCTGGCAACAATCGGTTTATTACGCTGTCATTACAGCGTTCCAACCATAAAAACTCCAGCATCACATAGTAAAAATGAGAGGAATAAATACCAAGCAACAGAGATGCGTGGATCCAGGTAGTTGAGCTTGGAGGTACCCAGAGCAATCTGCTTGTTCTCCTCTCTATCCGTGGCTTGTACCTGGAGTTTCATAAGCTGCTCCTCTATCCTCTGTACAGTTTTACGCTTTGCCTCTACAGCCCTGAGAATAAGGAAGAGGGAAAAACAGGCACAGATATAAAAACCCATCATGAGCATCTTAAACTGCAAAGATCAAACATGTATTTCTGTTATATTCCGAAGGGACAGAGTGGTATGGAAGCAATGGATCAACCATTATGCTGACAGCGAGCAGCTCTCGGATGTTCTTACTTTTTACTCTTTTCATCGTGTGAGGCCTTGTGATCGGCCTTGGCTGCCTTCAGCTGCTTCCTGGCTGCAGATAGTTGCTTTTGTTTCTCGTCGATCTGCAGTCACAAACACATGGTGAATGTAGGAATTATTCTAAATGTGGCATGTTTGTTTTCTTTTCTTTTTTTAAGGAATATACATTTTTTTACTTTAGGACAGTAAAATCTAACTGAAGGGGGGATTAGGAAACTAGAGAACATTTACCTTGGTCTGAAGGTTCTGCATGGACTTCTCAAATGTTTTGGGCGGAGCTCTCTGGTGGTTACACAGAATGGCCACTGCTCTGTTAGCTCGATTGTATGACAGGATCTTAGCTGGAATGCTGTCTTCAGCTGTGAACCAAACAACAACAGAAATGATTAAAATAACTTTCAAAGTCACAAAGGTTACTTTGACTGAATAGAAAAACGAAATCGGCTCACGGCAGGTAAGTTCCTTGAGCTGCTGTTGCAGAGTGATGGAAGCATTGTAAGTACGGAAAACTTTGGCTGTCAGTCCATCCATCAGCTCCTGTAAGTGCTTATTTAGGATAGATGTCTAAAGGAAATTCAGACAATAGAGGAGCAGTGATTAGGTGCGAGGTGATTAGAGAACAAACAATTAAAACTGTAGGCTAAAGCATTTCAGGAGAGATTTGTGCTTTTCTTACGTTCAACCTGTCAAAGAGGTCATCCTCCGGTTGCTTGTTCTCCAGAAACAACTGAAGGTTTTTAAAGACCTGATGATACATAAATAAAAGCACAATGAGCATGAAAACTAACTGTACCTGTCAATCTTTCAACATGTTCTTAGTTGCACCGTCACATTTCTGCCAAAAAAAATTAGGACCTAGACTTAAACTTTATCGCCAAACCAGAAGTCAATTGATTTTTTTTTTGTTCCACAACGAGAAGAAAAATGCTTGAAGGAATTAAAATGAGGCTTTCAAACCTCAGAGTGACAATCTTAAAGCATGGCAGTGGCAGTATCATGTTTAGGATCTTTTTAACTGCTAAACAATACCGACAGCATTGTGATGTTGCTTATTGTATTTTATATCCACAGTTCAAATATATAATTAAAAGCCCCAAATTACTAACACTGGTGGTGATGATGATGATAAATGTCAGAATGGCCGATTAAAATGTGTAAACATTTTTAACATTCTAGATATATAAAACTTAATTCTTACTAGTATAATTTTTTTTTACTTTATAAAATTCAGTTTCTTCTACAAAAATGTAATTTAGAAAATATAAGATATATATATATATATATGTTTTCAAGGCTGCACTTTAAAAAATGAAATTGTCTAGAGCTGTTTTAAACGAAATTTCTTTTTGTTTACACTCGTCTATACAAAATGACATAATAAATCTGACTCAGTGTAATATAACAGTTTTTTTTAATCAAGAATAATCTTATTTTAGTGATCTACAAATGGAACAACATACAGAAAAGTGCTTTTAATAAATGTAAAAATGGCCCGCCATATTATAGTTCATATAAACCTACGCATTAACTCAAGCAACAATCTTCTCCATCGCCATCCCACTCTCCTTTGCAGCTGTAGCGCTGTTTCTCTGTCTTGTGGATGAAATAGGCACTTCCTGTCCCCTGTTGTCATGGTGACTCGTCGAATTGGGGCTCCAATAATAATGGCTTTTCATATTTGTGACGCACGTGTTCAACTCTGAGTGGACCTACTCAGTGTTGCTTGAACTTATTCACAGCTTATTCACACTTATTCACAGCAGCCGTTGTGAAGCAACAATCCCGACCTTAGGCTAGATCAATTTAGAGTTGAGGATTTGAATCTGTGTTTGTTAAACCTGCTTCGTGAAATGGATCCCTAGCTAAGGAGGCATGCATGTTACCAGCAGAAAGCAAAATATTTAACCTGCCATCAAAAAAACATACACAAAATAAAACTTGAGCTAATTACTTATCTTAATGTTTATTCATATTTTCATGTAAACTTGTTCAGTTGTGCAATATTTGTCTCACAACTAGGGCTGCAACTAACAACTATTTTGCTAATCAATGTATTTTTTAAGGCACTAGTGGCTTGTTTTTTTTAACTGTGGGCTGACAGGAAAGGGGGTACGAGAGAGGGGGAGAGACATGCAGCAAAGGACTATAATATCAGATTTGAACCCGGATCAGCCAAGTTGAGGACTAAGGTCTCCATACATGGGTCTTGTGTGCTAACCACTGCCCTACCGAAGCACGCCCTAATCAATTAATTAACCAATAATTTCTTTTAATTAATCAATTAATAAGTGGATGGCAAAAGCTTCCTTGATGTAGATTTTACACAGAATTGAAACAAAAGTAATCTAAAACCGTGCCCATTGAGAACTTCTGGATAAAGCATTTTAATGGACTAAAAAGGTTTTTCATCTTTAATACAAAATGTTTGGATATAATTTTTAGCATTTTGGTATAAAAACTGCTTTAAGTGGGTTGCATGTTTTTGAGTCTCTAGACTCAAGTTATCGATTAATAAAATAGTTGACAAATATTTCAATAATCGAGTAATCATAGTATAATAATAATGGTGGTGATGCGGAGTAAAAATACATTTTTCAGTGAAACTTCATCCCTAACTGGAAAGGGAGAGTTGCAGTTTAGTCGAGAACTGATTCAAAGTGCAGTGAATGATGAATGATGAATAAACTGGAGGCTAAACATTATGTATAAGTAGTTGTAGTTACAGCAGGAAAGAGACCTCTAAAGGACAGCTGATGAAAAACATTTCAAACCTGATCACCTGCCTGTGTAAATATCTAACACAACATCACATCTGATAAAAAACTAAAATATGAATCGACAAAATAAACTTTTCCCGGTGAAAACTTTGCTACAGATCCATCCCTCTCCCTTTCACTGGAAACACGATTTAAATGCTCACCCGCTTCTCCACAGGAATCTTGTTATAGTAGCGGATGGAGTCTTTTCCTAAAAAGTCAAACTCCACCACATACTCCTGCTCGTCCATCTTGGGGTACAGCTTGATGTGCTCCACCCTCAGTGAGCAGCAGCCCACCGTGTCTGCCGTCTCGCCTTCTTCCTTTTCGTTGCCCGCCCTCAGAGCCAGCTAAGGGGGCGGGGGGGTATGTGTTACCTCTGTTTATTGTTTCAACCTCTGTTTATTTTTTCAACAGTTTAAAAGGGTAATTAAGGAAGATCTACTGACCTTGTCAATAAAATACAGGGCAACGGCTCTCTGTCTGATCCTCATCTCTTTGGACTTCCAGTCGTCTCTGTACTGGGCACGAATCCGATCCACGCACTTCTTTAAACGCCTCGCTGTCTCGTATTTCTGCCAGTCCTTCTCCCCCTGCAAAAACACAAAGAAGTATTTATTTTAATTGAGGTGAAACTGTATAAAGATAAGCAAACGGCTGCATGAAGGTCAGAATAAAAACAAAAAAACAAAACAGGTACCTTGATCCTGGAGCTAGGGTTCAACATGATGTACTTGATGGAGCCTTGGATGTTCTCTGTCCAGGATACTAACCACGTCACCTTGTTGTCATGGCGAACCTCCTTCCACCTTGTCCCCGGGGGAGGTTTGGGTTGTTTGGAGTCCCTTAGGACAAAAAAATTGATGGATTATTTAAACAAAAAATGGATGCCAAGTTTTCGGAAAATCGAATGCGTGTTTGGTTTCAGAATGCTCCAATAAAAACAAAGTCTCACCTTTCACAGCAACACTCAACTATGTTTCATCATAATCACCACATTTTTGTGGCATGCGAGGATCAACACGTCCTCCCTGAGTTGTGTAATTGTTTGCACAGATACAGCTTTCTTACACAGGAAGACTACCTCTGACACATTGCCAGTACTGTATCTAGGGGAGTGTGCATGTGTGTGTGTCTGCATACTTTACATGCCACTAACTCATAATCCTGTCTTTGTGTGTCTTTGATGGAAACTAATCGCTGCAAATTGCTTCTAAAAATATGTTCCACAAATATTAACCCTAAGGGTCAACAGGAAATCAGACAAACAGACTATAAATAACTGCAGGGTGTCACAACAAGACAGTGAGAAGCTGAAAGGAAAGGAGAAGGAAGGAGGAGAACACACAGAAAAGGGTTATAAACAAATGATTTCTGAAATAGGAACTCCTGAAAAATGGACCACAGTCTCACTCTCATCTGACCCTTCTTATGATGCATTTTCATGTGACTCCATTGCAGATGGTTTGACAGCGCCACCCTGTGGTAAACTTCAAAACTAGGTACTTGCTGACTAATTCACAGCATTTCAGTGTCTTCCAAGGTCTGAACAGTCAACAATAACATGAACAATCACAAGGTTAATACTCTAATAAAGACTAAAATAGAACCCCTTAAAATATGATACAGTCCTCTGTTTAATGAGCATGATTATGTTTAATTTATCATTTTTTAATCTTTCTTTGACCAGAAGTTTAACATATTATCTTTTTCCATAGACCTGGGTTCCATTTCAATAAGCAGGTTTTCTGAAAACACTAAGTTTTCTAAACCTGAATACAGGAAAACTCAGTTTTCCGTGTCATAAATAGAGTTTACTCAGCCTGTTTCAGTCACCGTAGTAACATTCTCCACAGAGCTAACCTGGTCAGGAGGTTTTGTTCATTAAACTCAGTGTCCTCTGTCTCCACTCTCCTTACAGCCAATCACGCTGTTTTATTTCCTGATTTAGTCCGATTTTTGTTGTAGTTTTGTGGATAAAAAGAATTATTCACTAGGTCCGTTAGAGACATTAGTTTAAAAAAACAACATTGTATGTCTGTTTGATGAGGATCTTGTTAAAAAATGATCAGTATTTTTTCCCAAGAGAATTAAGTATTTATAGGATGGGATTCAACAACTTAGTTGGCAGATATGAGATTTATTTGTCTTTTGTTTGTTTTATATGAGCGACATGTGGATAATTTTTTTAATTATTTATTCTACATGAGGAACTATCCATCCATTTTCCATCACGCTCATCCCAAGCAGGGTCGTGAGCGGTACTGGTGCCACCTGCTGTCTACGGGTGAGAGGCGGGGTACACCCTGGCCGGGTCGCCAGTCCATCGCAGGGCAACACATAGACAATCAACCATTCACGCACACCTAAGGAGAGTTTAGAGAAGCCATTTAACCTAACAGTCATGTTTTTGGACAGTGAGAGGAAGCCGGACAACTCGGAGAGATCCCACGCATGCACAGGCAGAACATGCAAACTCCATGCAGGAAGACCCCGAGCAGGGATTTGAACCCAGAACCTTCTTGGTGCAAGGCAGCAGGGCTACCCACTGAGCAGCCCATGTGAAGATGAAATAATTTATCAAATTATCAAATCATGCATACACAGATTAATTAAGTAATTCTGCGGGGGGAAAGGAATTGCTGCTGCAAGACGACTTCACCTAAATAGATACATTGATCCACTACCATTCAACAAATAAACCCCTAACGTTATCGTGGTCACAACAGGCTATTGCAAGCCAATTTGATATGTTTTAAATTGACTGAATATGCATTCCTGATATCTAAAAAACATTTTTCTTTATCTAAATGATCGTCTTAAACAAAATTACATTTCTACATCTAGAATAAACATCCTGGATGTATTTAAATTAATTTCCAATCTCCATAGTCCTATATTCCTAGATCCTGGTCAGCATGTGTATTATTTTTACTGTAAATAAATGTATTCCAGATATCATAAATACATATTTAAACAAGCAGAAAAATGCCTAAATGGCCACTTAAAATGTGTAAACATTTCTAGCTAAATAAAACATAATTCTTATTAGTACAATTTACTTATTTTACTTTCTGAAATTCAGTTTCTTCTGCAAAAAAAGTAATTTAGAAAATCTATTATTACAGTTCTGTCTAGGAATGTGATTTTGACCAGGAAGAATTCTGTTTTAGAGATCTACAAATGGAACAACACAGAGGAGAGTGCTTTTGATAAATGTAAAAACGGCAAAATATGTAAGCTGCCATCAAAAGACATACACAAAATAAAACTTGATATAATCTCTTACCTTAAAGGAAAATTCCAGTTTTTAACACTTTTAGCCCCTTTTCTGTAGTGTCCAGGATGAAATCGAATGATCGATACCAAAATTTTGACGATTGGTCCTGTCTCTGCTATTTGGCTCATTTAGAATCACCCCCTGGCTGCTTCAGAATGGCTTTCATAGTGCATGTCCGATAATGTCCTTAAAACAACCTTAAACGTTCTTTTTTTTAAATATGCTACTCACCGAGTCGTCAACGCTGTTCAATGACGTTCAAAAACAAGTTTCGTAAAGAAAAAACGTTCCTGTAGTGTTTTATTTACCATTTTGTAAATCCCATTGAGTTCTGTTGGAATAGTCAATATCCCTCCGCCACCGGAAACGGAAAGGGGGCCTGTTTACGCTTAGTTGTAGTCTTTTCGCAAGGCCCAAGTGTTTCTGCTTCACTCTGTGTACTCCGACGTCGAGGTGCTAACGTCTCTGTTAAACACTTTAAAAAACTCTGAAAATGGAATACGAAAGGTGGATTCTTGAGGAGGACATATTGGACTTTGAGTTTGACGGTAGAGGATACCGTCGCCAACTAGTGGTCTGGAGTGTGCAACGCTTCAGATTCGAACGGGAAGCGGAAGTTTATAAGCGGTTGTGATGTATCGGAAAAAATAGTTCTGGGATTTACAAAATGCTAAATAAAACAAGACAGGAACGGTTTTTCTTCACGAAACTTTTTTTGGAACGTCATTGAACAGCGCTGACGACCCGGTGAGTAGCATATTTTAAAAAAAGAACGTTTAAGGTTGTTTTAAGGACATTATCGGACATGCACTATGAAAGCCATTCTGAAGCAGCCAGGGGGGGATTCTGCATGAGCCAAATAGCAGAGACAGGACCAATCGTCAAAATTTTGGTGTCGATCCTTCGATTTCATCCTGGACACTACAGAAAAGGGGCTAAAAGTGTTAAAAACCGGAATTTTCCTTTAATGTTTATATATATTTTATATAAACTTGTATAGTTGTGCGACATTTGTCTCACAACTAGGGCTGCAACTAACGACTATTTTGCTAATCAACATTATTTTTTTAAAAGGTTCTTTAAGGCACTAGTGGCTCCATTTTTTCAACTGTGGGCTGACAGGAAAGGGAGTACGAGAGAGGTGGAGAGACATGCAGCAAAGGACCACATGTCAGAATTTGAACCCAGATCAGCCAAGTTGAGGACTAAGGTCTTCATACATGGGTCAAGCTTGCTAACCACTGCCGCACCGAAGCACGCCCTAATCAATTAATTTATGGATTCCTTTTTCAATTAATCAATTAATAAGTGGATGGCAAAAGCTTGATAAAGATTTGACACAGGATTGAAACAAAAGTAAGCTAAAACCGAACCCATTGAGAACTTGGATAAACCATTTTAATGTACTAAAAAGGTTTTTCATCTTTACTACAAAATCTTAGGATATTGTTTTTATCATTTTGGTATAAAAACTGTTTTGAGTGCGTTTCATGTTTTGGAGTCTCTGAACTGAAGTTATCGAACAATCAATTAATAAAATAGTTGACAAGTATTTCAATAATCGATTAATCACAATAAATCCAATAAAGTCTTTCAGCCCTACTCACAACCATGTCAATGTTTGCCTCTTAGGATCAAAACGTGGATGAGGAAAAGTGTCTAGCTACCACTTCATCCTAACCACACCCCTGCTTCTCCCCAGACTTATCCCTGCCCCTCTGGATCTCTTGGGACTGGCAAGTTTTCTAGAATTTTTCAAAATGTAACTGGAGGTTTTACTTTTTATGCTGCAGTGTGTAGTCCTGTTTCTCTCCTAGACATAGGTATAGTTTCAGCTTTTAATGTGACTAACTTTTTGTGTTCTATTATATCCTGTTAACATGAAAAGCGGCTCCGAGCGCATCTGTTTAACTGTCTCTTTACCAGACAAAGCCGACTATGGAGCTAGTCTACCATTACTTTCTCTAACATAGAAAGTATTCACAGATCAGTGCTTCTATCTTTATTTTGCGTGCCTGCTCTTTTTGTTTAAAACCACCAGTCGGGCTCAGCAGACGGCACCATACCTAGTTCTGCTGGAGGTTTCTTCCTGCCTTCCATTCATGCTAGGTGTGCTTATTGCCACAAAGTCAAAACACTATGCAATCAACTGGGTTTCCTTAGAAACTTGAGCCTATCTGTCTGTATAATTTGACTGAATTCACTCTATTTGTCTTCAGATGATGTTTGTGCATTGGTGCTATATAAATGACCTGAATTTGCATGGTAATTACGAGCTTTTTTTAAATACAAAATCAAAATAATTTTGTAACTATGGAGTGATTAGAATCCATACTTGCTACAGTTTATGATGATGTCTTCGGGTCTAATGCGCCGTTTCAGCATTCCCATCTTGGGATGGTCCCCTCGTCCTCGGAACAGTCCAGGTGGCTCAATGCGAAAGTTTCCGATCCTTTCTTTGTGATTGTCCATGATGCAGAAACCATACTCCTGGAGGATTCTCTCATTTTCCTCTTTGATTTTCTGGAAAGATTTTAAAAAACACAACATGTTTCACAATATCCTTACTTGCAGCATCAGCGGAAATGAATACCTACCTGTTTCTCCTCCTTGGACATCTGTTTGCGAGCCTCTGATTGAGCCTTGAAATATTCACTCATTTCTCTGAAGTCACACTTGTTCAGATCAGTGATTACTGACTTCTCCTCTGCTGTCATTTCCTAAAACACAGGCTTAATCTGTAAAGCCTTCCGTATTCTTTTGTTCTGAGCTTTGGAATATGTTTTGTGTCGATTCTCACCTTCCTCCAGTCTTTATAGAAGTTCTTCCTAAAGATGTCTTTAGTGGTATACTCATGATCTAACATCTTGGCAAAGAATGTAGCGACTTCCTCAGCAGGAGCACTAAGTTTCATTGGCTTACCTAAAAGAAAACCAATAGATATTGAAGCCTTGAACAAAAAAACTAATCTAAAATTGAGCTGACACACTGACCGTCATAGTAAAATTTGACTTTGTCAGGCAAAGGCTCATAAGGGGGAGCAAAGACTGGACCCTTATGTTCTAGAAAGCGCCATTTGGAGCCATCAGTATATCTCTCCTCCTCCCACCTGCCAGAGAATTACAAAAAATAAAATAAAAAATCATCAACCCAATGGTGAATCAGTTCTTGGAAAGTAATTTCATGAGGAAAAGAACCATTGAAGATGAACATTAGCTCACCATTTCCATTTCTCCTCTTCTTCTTTTTTGGCTTTCTTTCCCTCCGCTGCTTTCTTGTCTTTTGTCTTCTTTTTGTGCTTAATGTCCTAAAAGAAAATGGTATAAGACCAAGATGTATCTCATGTCGATTTATCTCAAAAACCGGCATTAACTTAATATACCTCATCCTCCTCATCATCTTCATACTCATGTTTCCTCTTCTTGGCCTTCTTGTCATGTTCCACCTTGACATTCTTGGGCTTGTATTCAAACCTGTAAACAACCGCTGCTTTAATAATCCTCCAAATACAGAAATTGCAAATAACTTTTTTTTAAATCAATGTAATAGAATTTTTATTAGATTTTAGTAGCACATACTCCTCATCGTCATCCTTCTCACGTTTGGTGGCCTTGTTATGTTTGGGAGAAGGGTAGAAACCATTGTCTTCTTCCGGCTCACTTTTAATGGCTGTAGGACTTCTCTCTCTGAGTCACACAGTGATTGTAAAATTTGTAAAGAATTCAAAAACATTATTTCAGTGATATGATGCTAAATACTACACACATCTTACAAAATCTATATTCATTTATACATAACAATAAAGCAATACTGTTTACCTCACATATCCATTTTCCTTCTCCTTTTTGGGCCTGTCAGAATGGGATGATAAACTCTGTAAATAAAAACAAAACAAACTACTTAAGTGGACTTTAATAAAAAGCTATGAAGGCTGTTCAAATTCTGACAAGCTCTTTATTTTTTCTAATAATGAAACTAGCTTAGTGCTAAGCACATTGGCAGCTTATCACAGTAGCTGTGCTGAATTATGTATAATTTATATAATTTCAAGTTTCATGTTTTAAATATACATTGAGATTTTTTTTTTTTTACTCTGGTGGAAATAATTCCCTTCTATAGGTATTTTGTAAACATTTTTTTTGGCTATATAATAAACAACCATGGTAACAGAAGGGATGTTTACAAACAGCAGCAGGTCATGGAGTGGAAGCAAATGTGGTGGAAGATAAAGGAGCTCTCTTGCAATCTTAGATGGATGAGCATGACTAGCTAAAGAGGAGCCAAGCAGAGTTTCAGGAATGCAGAATTACATGTTTCACTGAGACATGGCTGTGGGACCATGTTCCAGACAACTATCAGTCCCAGGTGATACCAGCAGGAAGATTTTTGAATCTGATTTATTCTGTAGGTAAATATTGTATATCCATCGTAGATGAGGAACTGCTGACTCTATTTTTTTTGACTATATTTTGTATTGAGTGTGTACACCTGTTTAATCTAAGTAACAATCTAGTTTTCCTATAGAATTTTGTTTAAATTGAACTGAATAAATTAAATAAACATGTTACCTTGATCATTAAAATTTTAACCATTGTTTAAAACCACAGCCAAGCTCATTTCTAAAACAGAAAAGCAAAGAACAGATGGATGTTTCAATAAATGATGGATGGATAGATAGAAAAACTTATCCAGATCTAGAAACTGCATGCAGGAAATCAGACAGGATTCCAGACTACATAAAAGCCCAGTAGATAAATAAGTCCTTGAACTCAACATGACAGACACTCCGCAGCGATCGACAAACCTTATCCTCCTTCCTCTTCTCTTTGTCCTTGTCTTTGTGTTTTTCTCTGTGCTTGTCTGAGCTGCCATCACTGTGCCTCGGCTTCTCTTTGTCTTTGTGTTTTTTCTCAGAGTAATCCTTATGTTCGCTGAAGCCACAGGGGTCACAGAGTTCAATTGCAAGACGTCAAACAAAACATGTCAGTGTCAGAGAAACAACCAGCAGGGCCAAAAAAGGCCAAATTGTTGTTTAACAAAAAGTGGCTTAGCCATTTTTTTTTTTTTTTTTTTTTTTTTTTTACAAGAGGAGATCAAAATACACATTCTGAATATATAATTTATGTGGCTGACTTAGGCGCACTTTAGTGACTTAACATAACTGAGATGTATTGGTTCTTTCTATTGTAAAAATAGCTGTGATCAGAACCTATACCCATCTGTCCATACGTAACATTATAAAATATGCTTTATACCAAAATACTATGTGGCTGTAGACAAATAGAAAAAAAAAACGGATGCATGTGCAGTCTGAAACCTCAGAGAGAATCAAAACAATTACCTGTTGCTGTACTTTGTTTTTTCCCTCTCCTTGTCTTTTTTGTGATCTTTGTGTTTGTGTTCCTTGTCTTTGTGCTTATCTTTATGTTTGTGAGAATCTGCAACACAATAAAGAGAATGTTTTGGAGTCAATCATTGTAAATAACCAGTGTTTATTACATGTGGATAGGTCATACTTCTGAGAATAAACTATTTACAGATATTTTTTGGGAAAGATATTGATGGCTTTGATTCAGTTTGGTCAGAAAATGATTCTATAAGGACAAGCTGATTATAGGAGCATTAAAACCTCGAAGCTCACTACTACAGAACTGCAACAAAAACAGGCACCTAAAAACCCCTCAAGTCTTTGCAACAACAATATGTTTTAATTCTTTTTCTCAGATCTTTATCAGAGTGCCAATGACTGTGCAGAATGATGTTAATAAAAACACAATAGCTTTATATCTGAAATAATATTAATTTCAACAAAGCTGTGATCAGAAAGATTTTGCAAATAAGGAATTTTAATACTAAAATGATAGAAAGTGGAAATTAACTTTTCTTCAAAGAATTTAAAAGAAAGTAGCCTTGACAAATGCTTTGCTCCACTTAAATATGATGTTATAAACTTGATGATCACCTGAAATTTGGGAGACATTTTAACCTGCTTCACTGTAAACATAGTTTCCACGGCATAGTTAAAATAGCAATTTGTTTCTCTATGCTTCTGCTGTGCTGATTTTTACATTTTGTCAAAACTCTTCCTTACAAAGAAAACTAAAATAATCTATACAACCTCGACCTAATATATACATATAACAGAAAATGTGCTTAGAATCTATTTTTCATATTAAAAAAACATGTATTCTGTAACCATTAATGGATTTTCTTCATTTAATACACTTTCTATGTGGCAGGAGACTTTATATCAATTATATTATGTAATAGATTAGCATAAGGAGCGCAGTAAAACCATAAAACAAAAAAGAATTAGCCATGGTATTTACTTTGAGACAGAGGGGCATGCATTTCATTTAGCCTCTTTAACTTTACTTTACTTTGTGTTACTTTGTGTTTGTCTGACATACCATTGAATGAGGTTTGTATTCATAAATTGACAAAATGTATAAAGATTTAAAGACATTAATGTTTTCAGTCTCTAAGAAAAAGCAGAGCACAACTTAGCAAATATAAATATATTAATTAAATCTTTAAATTCAAGTCAAACTATACCTAATTTTAGCAAGTGAATTATTAAAATTCAGCCTTCAAACATTCCTCTCTATCAGGGGCAGAGCTAGATGGGGGGGGGGGGGGGGGGGGGTGGGGGGGTGGCAGAGGTGGCTATGGCCACCCTTAGCCAATCAGTGGCCACCCCTACTATTTTCTTTCACAAACAGTGGTAGCCGCAATACCATCAAGAGGAATTTTTAAACTTATTAAACATTTTCATTTTTTATATATTAATAGTTACTTTACAACTAAAACTCTGTGGTAAATTATGCACATCAAAATACTAACATTATAATTGATATATACAGAATTCATTATCTTTTAAGACCCTAGTTTTGTGTTATATGGGATAAAGAGAAAATTATGTCTCTGCAATTCATCAAAGAGTTTTCAGTGTAATCATAGATAAATAATTACTTTAATAATAACTTTTAAAAAAATCTATTTAATGTAGATATTACATGTATTATTAATGTTATGCAGAACAATTTTTGATAAAAGTAGGCAATGAAAATGGAAAAGATGTTTCCCCCAGACATTTTGTCCAATATACCTTTTAATTAGACAGCATGGATGTTTAAATATATGCAACTATGTAATCAAAAGGCTGTAGGAAAGTATAGTTTGTCTTTATTCAGAAAATATGGATGTTGGAACAGTGTAGATGAACCCTGAGATTAAAAATTTTTGGCTACACCTCTGCTTTCTATCACTGAAATATGTTTTAATTTCAACTTGGGATATTTTATAAAATATTTTATAAATGTCATCCCATTTTGTTTTCTCAGGAACAGAAACTCCCAACTTTGTCTAAAAGAGGAGCATAATTAGATTAATCAAAATGACATCTTCTTTCTAAAATGTTAGGGCAGATTCCTTTAATATTGTTCAAAGTTTCTGATCACATATCTTTTTTTTCTGTTGCAGATAAAAGGCTGAGTGGCAGTGATGGAGGCAGAGCGCTGATAAGCGCCCGGCTCTGCCTCCATATCGCGGCGGACAGCTGGCTCACCGAGCGGCGCCCTGGATGCTTCACACAGAAAAGAAAATGGCGCAGAGACTAAGTCCTCAACCCCAATTCCAGCACTTTCGGCTCCAAATTTCACCACAATTGCACCGATATATCATTCAACAAAAGCATGCACAATTAACCCGAGATCAGCCTCTTTCAGAATACCCGTTTACTTTTGAAATCCGAGGTTGTTAAATACACATTTTAGACCCCCTTTTTGAACAATAGCCGCAAGAGAGTGGAGGAGAAGGGACTTAGTCTCTGGGACGCCATTTCTGTCCTTTAAAAACTAACAGTAGACAGGTACCACAGGCTAAGGTTAGAAAACTGCCCACTAAGGATAAAAAATAATAAGAAAAAGACCCACCAATTCCTTTTGATCCGGAGTTGACCTAAAAACAGTGAGGAAAATATTTCTATTAATTCAATTTTAAAAACGCCGGTAGCTTGGCTGTTCAAGTTAGTACTGCAGAAAGACTATACTATATAAAAATGATAATTAAAAAGAACACCAGCAACGCTTTCTCTTAGACTAGTTGCATCAGTTTTATGAGTTATTCGACATTTATTTCTAGTTATTATTCATATTTGAGGAAATTTCAATTTAAAACTACCGAGGAAATGAGAAAACTTGACTGTGAAGCGAGAGCTACCTGAGAGTCTCCGCGTCCATGATCTCCACTCATGGTTGGGTTGATTTTTGTGAAGAAAGAAGCTAGGTAACCCTCACTGACAGCCTGGAATGGAGTCCCAACGTTGAGCTACTGCGCATGCGCACTCCAACAGAACTCTCTCCTTTCATAAACATCCATGAACGCTGGCATTTATTACTACAGCAATGATCCTAGTATTAAACATGTCAGGGTTTATGGTTTGCATTTCCTAATTTCACAACCACTTCAAGGCAGCTGTACTGATTAAGTTTCCTTTAACCCTTTATAGGACACTCATTGAAATACTAAATCACATTTTCAGGCCAAGAGTGTTTCAATTTAATTCAATTTATTTATATAGCGCCAATTCACAACACATGTCGTGTCAAGGCACTCTACAGTTCACAAGATCATCCAGTCAAATTGATTCAAAGTAATCTATGTAAGAAAAAAACTGATTGCATCCACTCATTGACTCAAAGGCAATCCCTCACACTAAGAATCAGAAATACTTTAATAATCCCAGAGGGAAATTACTTTTGTTACACGGTCCAGTTACAGTTTTATATAACATATACACACATCCAACTATACAATATAATAAAGATAAAAAATAAGAATAAAAAGAGATAAAATATATACACAATTAGCTCTTCTGTATATATATATATATATGTACAGTGACAGTCAAAGAAACAGGGCTACAATGGAAAAACAGGCCGATCTCCAACATCTATATATATATATATATCTAAGGGTGTTGATGGTAGCAGTACAGCTAATATGTCTCTCAATGATGGTGTCACAGCCAAACAGTGTTTATGGAGGAAAGGACAAAAATTACTTTTGTAACATACAAAAACATATATCAAGGTCAATGTAATAACAACAAAGGGCCACTTGCCCTTATAGATTTAGAAAAAATTGTGTGAAAGGAACATTTTTATTTACATAACTATAGAAAAATTAATGCTGATACAGACACTTATATTTTTTACTTTTTTAACTTGGCTTATTAACTTTTTAACTTATCAATTAGCTCTTTACATTTTTTCTTGTTAACTTTTATTTTTGCAACTTAATTTACAGTAGGTAATAAATCATTTAAGAGCTCATCGAATTGGTCAAAGGCCAAAATAACATGTACAGCCACGTAAAAGTATCTTTGCTGACTGTGCTAAGGTGGACAGGAGCCCACTGTGGGTTACTTTGGTCTAAACTTAGTGGTTTTATAAGTGGATTTATAATGCTGATAAAGAAAAATGTTAGATTTTGGCCTTACAAACAGGAAAAACAAAGATAAAAATAAAAGCTTTAAAAAATAAAAAACATACTATTTCAAACAAAGCTTGCAATTTTATCAATTTCCAAAAATATTTTCAGTTTTTTATGCCCATTTCTTAGTTACACAATCTGTAATCATTGTTCCTCTATTTCAGATGTAGTTTTTAGTACATTTAAGTTCATATACAGCATCCTCTTCAGAAGACATTACTTTTTCATAAAAACAGTTGGTGTATGTTAACCGTTAAAGATGTACATAAAAAAAAAAGCCTGCAAGGGATTTGGGACCATTTGCATGAATACATTTAACAAAGTAAATTGATAATCACCATAATGTGATCAATGTTTTTAAAGGCGTCAAGCATCTGCAATTGTCAATCCACAGGTGGGAAGCTGTAAGGTTTGGGAGCTAATAAGCTTAACATTTAATCGTCAATAAGACAGGAGTTTAGCTGCCTTTGTGGCTCATAGTTGCATTGAGAGGTGTAGGATAGAATGGATAAGGGCTTTGTCATAAATCCCTGCAGGCTTTACCATGAAGAAGTTGTTGCTGAAATACATACCTTAGATTTACTGATCTTGCTACGCATGAAAATTCTCTATAGGGTGGCCACGTTAGGTTTTGGAGACTAGTTAAGGAGACTCAATAGACCTGATGAGTTTGGGGTGGAAACATGGCCCGTTCATATAAAAGTCAGATTTTCGGTGCACGTCCTACTAAGAGAAGACAATCAACAGGGCTATAAACTCACTAAAGGGAATTTCCTTTGACTAAAGACAGTATTAAGATCCTCCAGAATTAGCTGGGGATTGTAATTGGTGAGCAGGACTTTTGATTTTCCCCTTTTGAACTCCTTAAATCATCATTAAATCAAGTATAAAAAACAAACAAAAACAAATGATGGACAGGATACAATTGTGGATACAGGCATTTCTAATTAAAGACAATAAAAACCACAGAAATCAGGTCCAACATAATCTCTTAAGGTTTAACGAAAAAAAATCACCAGCATGTCATTTCACAGAACAAGCAGTAGAAAATTTTATTCCATTTTACAACTTAATCATACAGTAAATGGTGAGTTCAATTGTCAATCTTCATGATTAATCCAGCATCTTATAGAAAAAAAAAGCACATTCACGCAAACTGTATGCACACATTCTAGCTACAATCACACATCTAACCCTCAACAAAACAATAGCTTCTTTTTTGCCATTAAACAATCTGTACATGGTATCCTCCTCTAATGGAACTTTTAAACTCAGCCAGAAAAACTAAAGTCAACTGATTCACAGCAGGAAACAAAAACATTTACAGTACAGTTCACAGGTAAACAACCACTGTTGTGCCTATTTAGACTTCCTTCGTTTGGCTTGGGTTGGGCTTGCTGCCGTTTCTGTAAAAGCAAACAGATTGGTTGGAGAAAACTTCAGTGTTTCATGTAGCATTTACGACATTGACTTCGGACATGATCGAACCTTTAACTGTAGCACTCGTTCCAGGCCTGGCCGATCTCTTCCTCATGCCGCTATCTACTGCTGGCTCCTCCTCCACCTCCTTCTCAGCTCGGGAGCTCCGTCTGCTCGGGCCCTTGGGCTTCTCTACCGCAGCTCTGGGAGAAGAATCACAAAGACAAACAAGGAAAGAAAACAAGACATAAACCCGTTACTAACAAGCAATCACCTCTCCTTTGCTCAACATTGTAATACCAAAGAAGACTGCTGTTTTTCCTCATCTACCACAGATACTGTCCATCTTCATCCCAACAGCATCCACGACTACGTCGACATGATCACTGCTTCTGTCTTTGCAGCACAACCATGTCAAAATACATACCTTGGGACTATGTTGATGGGCGTCTTTCTTTTCTTTGCCCATCTGTGATAGAAGTGGAAAAACAGCGGTAAACTATCAACTGTGCTGTACAAACAGTTTTACTACCTCACCATATCATGACAATCCCAAAGTGGAGATGCAGCCATGTTGCATGATTCCATTTTCCTTTGATTTGACTTTTGAATATCATATAATCTCATGCTCATCATACATACCAAGCTCCAAGGCCTTTGTTCATCATGTACCCCAATGGCCAACCCCAAAAAACCTCCAAAATGTTTCAATGGAGATAGAAATCCTTAGGAATCTCCCAAGATTGGTTTTGATTTTTGTAAGATTAATGATAAAACAAACATCTTAGAACCCCCAGCACCCAAAACAAGCAGAGAGGACAGCAACAATAATGTAGGAACCTTACCCCTGCTCAGAACCTGTTGAGACGTCCTCACCTGGTAAACACAGGGGCAAATGTTATTTAAGAAACCAATCAAAAGGGTAAAACAATTGAATGCCCCCTTTAAAAAAAAGAATATTCTGATAAAGGAAATTAAGACTGTTTACCCGTCTTCTCAGTCAAGGCAGGTTCCTGTGAAGCTTCTGGTTGAACAGGTGCTAAAATACGAGCAGAAAGAACATAACTAGCAGTAGTGAAAAATGTCTACATGCCCAAAACACTTTAAACATTTGCTGAGTATGTACCAGGTGTGCTCTGTGTAGCTTCAGCAGGTGTTGTCGCTAATGGCATTGAAGACTCTGCAGCTGGGGCATCTGACTGAATCGCAGGGACTCCGCTGGTAATACCAGAGGGAGAGGAGGTAATGTGGGAAGCCTCACCAGGTCCGCTTGCAGCAACAATTGGAAGAACAGATGTTACAGATGATTGTGTGGGAGTGACTGTAGAGAGCAAAGTACTGGAAGAAACCCCAGCACCTACTACAGTCACTATAGGTGCTTGAGAATTTACAGGCGATGGTTGATTTGGGACTGAAGCCGCTGCAGGAGCCTGACCAACTATCTGAGTGGGAACCGTAACTTGGCAAGGGATTTGAGAAGGAACTAAAGATGGATTACTATTTGAACTAACAAGAGTAATATGAGGAGCTTGTCCTTCAGTCTGATTAGCAGGGGAAAGAAATGTCTGCTGTGGGATACCCCCCGTATGCCCTTGTGCAGGTCTTTCTACAGTACTTTGCTGGGAATCACCTTTGCCTGAAACGGAGACAGTAGCTGATGTAGACATTTTCATTTGGCCAGTAGGAGATGGAGGCACAGGACTCTTTCGAATGGGGTTAACAGCCATAGGACTGGAGCAAGGAGGGGGAGAAGTTAAAGGCGACTGAAAGGAAGTTGATACAGAAGCACCTGGGTGAGGGGCAGGTTGATTGACAGGGAGAGAAGATTTCTGAGAGGAATTTATCTCACTTGGAGTTTCTGGTTTGATACCTCCCTGGTTAAACTGCTGAGGAGTTAAGAGAGTACTAACTGGCCCTGGAGAGGACATGCTAGTGGCTATGTGGACCTGTCCAAGAGAACTCCTATTAGACTGAGGGCTTGTCATTGTAGCCCCAGTGTTCTGTGCCGAACTTGGGGCATGAGAGAGGTGAATGTTTGCAGCAGAGACCTGCAGGGAGCCCACCATGGTGACAGACTGCGACACAACTGTTGAATTGGTAGCCATAGAGGAAGCTGGGACCTGGAAAATTGGGTTAATAAATACAGGCGTAGTGGTAATAAGTTGTGCAGGTCTTGGACCGGAGCTCTGATACCGGATGTCCTGTGGTCTTATATTTTTATTAGGGACAGCAACCATGGTGGATACCATAGATGTAGGCACCTGTGAAGTGGGGGCAGAAGTGATGGGGTTTGAGGTTACAAACACTGTTATCTGGTTGGGAGAAATGTTGCTTGATGAGGTGGGAATCTGAATGACAGACTGAAC